AGTCTTTGACAAAATTATAATTGGCCACATGGCATGACTTTTTTTTTTAATACATGATCTTGAAAATAGTGCGATTTAGATTCTGCCTTGGGCTGAGCTCTGCGGGCTACACATTTACCTGTCAGTTTGGGGATTTCAGTGCAGATTTTCTTTTTTTAAAAAAAATAAAACTCTGTTAAGTACTCAGGAGGCTGAGAACACAGGCCCTTTCTCTCCCCTGATCCTTTATACGCAGGCTAGGACTTAAGCAACCCCTTTATGTTTGGCTAGTGCCACAACAAAACAGCCCAGACAGGTTGCCATGAGCATGCTGGCCTGGCTTGGTGTCTGATGATAAAATCTGAGACTGCTAAGTGCAGTCAGTGTTCAGGAAAGAATCTCCAGGCTCTTCCCCCATCACCTGGTTTTAAAGTCAGCATTCATACAGCTGCTGCCACAGTCTGTCCTCTGAAGATGACTCAGTCCTACACAGCAACCAAGATTCCTTGTCAGCTGAGGAAGTCCTGAAGAAACATCCTGAAGATGATGACTGCACTGCCACTGTGGGCAGATGCAGCTTCCATCTACCTGAGGGCTGAAGGGGAAATCCTTTCACACACGTGAGGAAGGCGCAGCTCTGTGGAAAGGTCACTAGAATGGCCGCGGCAGCAAATAGGGCTCCAATGCACGTTCACACTCAGCTGGGTCTGAGGAGAGCACGGCCCTCCACAGCAAGCTCGCTCTACAGAATAAAGTCCTGAGCTTGTTTTTAATCACAGTTAGACAGAGAATGGTCTCACGTTTCTCAGTTATCCAGGGAAGAACAGTGTATGTTCTCTGTAGATGAGTGTCATCTAATGTAGTGTTTCATATCTGCTAGTGTTAGGAAATCTCCACTATTTGGGTGTGTGTGTGTGTGCACGCGCACGCACACACACAGAAGTCTTGACTTTCCAATTAAAAAATGCCTAAGTCAGGTCACACTGTCTTCTTCCAGCCAGTTTCTAAGGGAGGCAATGGAAAAAGGAGCTGATGCCAATGATCAAGAGGCAGAAGGGCCGCATGCTTTGCAGGGCCAGCTCCAAGGCTGCCTTCCAGAACTGCTCTTTCCCAGCGAACTCTCACTGCAGCCGCCAGCGCCCCCAGTGCTCAGGCAGGGGTTGCCCTTCACATGGACTTGGAATCAGTGTCTCTCTTGCTGATGAGCACCTCCAGGAGCCTCAGTTTTGCCTTTATGTGCTTGTATTCACTGTATTCTTCAGCCATAGGAGTGCGGTCTTCCTTCTGGACATTTCTAATGGAAATAAAGGAAAAGTGGTCTGAGGGTCATTTTCTGTCTCTGTGTGATAGTATTCCTTGGGCAAATTATCATTGTGTAGAAATTTTGCAGTTTATCAACGTGTAGAATCAGTGTTGCCAAGCGGCCCTTGGTCTCAAGACTGGAGCTGGATTTAGACAAGTAATGAAAATGTTTCCCCCAGAAGACATCATGTGACTGAGTTTTTATATAATCAGGCAACCTGTATGACAAGAAGGCTAAGAAATGCAGAAATTCTCTCTCTGCTAAGTATGAATTCACATTGAGTTCTCACACATCAAAATCCTTTATTCATACTTAGTGTTATCTCATTCTTATATATTTCATCTTGTGAACTTTAAAATTTTTAATTAGCAACTGATCCACCCACAACTTACAGGGTTTTTTTTTTTTTTTTTTTTCCAAAAACAGATAGTTAATACTCCCACTTATGATAAAACAGTCTTAGAATTCAGTAGCTGGATCACATAATACTATTATAAGCCTTTATTAATTTACTGAGTAATTTTACATGCACAGTATTTATATGCACAAGTATTTGAGAGCTTATAGGTCAAGCCCTGTGCTAAGTACTTTGTATCCATTATCTAATATAACCCTTACAACACCTGGATGAGATGGAGCCATTATCTGCACAGTAAACATGATGAAACCAGCACAGGAAATCAGATAACTCACCTGCTCTTCGCCACCACGCAGTGCGCTGCTGCTTTGCGCTTTATGGGAAATCGCACATGGCAAACATCCAAACACAGGCTTCCGGCCTTTATTATTAAAGGGCAAATGTGGGCAAGGAGGCTAGTATGGGGCTTAATTTGTTCAATGAAGTAAAAACCGATCTATTCATACTCTGCCTTGTTCTAGCAAAGGATTCTAGTGACTTCTTAGCAGAGGGCAGGGTAAAGAACAGGTGCTCAGGAATCGGAGCATCTGGCACACAGGCCCCGCTGCACTCTGAGGGCCATCACTCTCCTCAGACACGAATTCCTGGAACCAGAGCTCATCTCCTAAGTCCCTCATGGTTCTGTTTCGTGATGGTTTATGTCCACCACTGACATTTTCTTAAAACCTGGGCTTACATAATTCTATGTAGTTCCTCATGTATAAGATAATGTACATAATGTGACTAGAATAATATAAAAAAGGATAAACCAAAAATAGGCTTAGAGGAAAGATACCCATCAAACCATTAATTCTGATTTGTCTTTGGCTATTATTTTGGGAATTACTACTTATATTTGCTTATCTATATTTTCTAAATACCCTGCAATGGGTGGGAAATGAAAAGCAAATATTTAGGTATAAAAATGTATGAGACATAACCAAATCAGAGATCTAAAAGTAAATTCATACAATAATTGTTAAACTGAAATACAATATATTTTAAATGACAAATTTTTTTTTGAGACAGAGTTTCACTCCTGTTGCCCAGGCTCACTGCAACCCCCACCTCCCAGGTTCAAGTGAGTCTCCTGCCTCAGCCTCCTGAGTAGCTGGGATTACAGGCATGCACCACTATGCCCGGCTAATTGTTGTATTTTTAGTAGAGACAGGGTTTCTTCATATTGGTCAGGCTGGTCTCGAACTCCTGAACTCAGGTGATCCGCCCGCCTTGGCCTTCTAAAGTGCTGGGATTACAAGTGTGAGCCACCCCGCCCAGCCAACGATGTTAATTTTTATGGTGCTTTTATTTCTCCCAACTTTCAAGAAGTATAAAAGAGGACTCGAGAAACCATACTTACACAGCTTCAGTAATCTGGGTTAAAACCAATCTAAAAATGATAAAACCTAACTCCAGTGTAGGAGATGCAAAACTATCCCTGGTCCTCTCCTTGGGCTCCTGCTGCAACTTTCGGTAAGACGTTTTGTGTGCTGTTGCTCGTAAACATAAAAGGCTACTTCTTAACATAACATTATATGAGGATGATTAAATTATGCCTTGAAACACATTGGTGAGAGATAGCCCATCAACCAGGTAGATGTACTGCTTTTCATATATATTTTTCATTTAAACTTAGCAACTATCACCTTCATTTTTGAAATGAGTTTGAAAATCAGTAATACTTAGGTCCCTCTTTCCTTGTTTCTCTAGTTCCTTTTATTCAGAGATGAGATCTCGCTCTGTTGCCCAGGGTAGAGTGCAGTGGTGGATCATAGCTCCCTGCAGCCTCAAACTCTTGGGTTCAAGCAATCCTCCTGCCTTAGCCTGCCAAGTAGCTAGAGCTACAGGTGTGCCACCACAGCCACTTGGCTAAACTCTAGTTTCTTAAGAAAAAAGCCTTGGTGCCACCAGCTGGAAACACAGTTTCCTGCTGTTATTGCAGAAGAATCTGATGAAACCGGTTCATTTCATAAATTTCAGCTGCATCTGCATTAGTCTTTGGATAATTGCCATTATCCAAAGAGCATTTCTTTTGGGAGGTCCACACAAATCCCATCATCTCATAGTCAATCTCTAAGGGTCCCTGGGCACAAACCCAAGGACCAGGTTACAGGGAGGATGCTGAAGAGTCCCCCCTTTGAAGGCATTCCACAGATCTGACAGGAAAACATGAGGGATGGGTGTGTGTGGTAAGGTGGTGGGGAAGGGAGGGCCAGGGAAGACAGGCAGTACCTTCCATTCTGTCTGAAAAAGTTGTCTTCAAAATCCCGAAGTTTCTTTCTAATCCTTTTCTTTTCTTCTCTCATTTCCTGGAGGTGTTCCAGGAGTTCAGGTCTAAGAGAGAAGCAGCATTTCAAGGAAATTAAGTGAAATTTCAGTTGTTGTAAATGTAATGAATGTGCAACTCAAGAGGAGCTGTGCAGAAAGGAGAGGCAAGTAAGTGCAGACACAGCTGGGGCACGGAGGGGGCGTGGAAGTGGATGTTTTCCATTTCCTGAAAGCCAAACATGACCGGATCCAGCTTCTGGGGTTCCTGCTACTTAGGAATTCCTAGGCCTTTTAAAATCCCACGGCACTTTGTCATATTTTTCTTTGAAAGAAAGAGATGACATCTGTGCCCAGTGTATATTAAGTGATGGGCTGTGATGTACAGAACCACACAATACCGTTTATAGACAGAACTTCCGGTTGCTTAAGCAAGGCTCAAAAGTTCCCTCAAATAACATGGGCTGAAGCACATGCAAATTTTTTAAGAATCACTGTTTTATGCAGATACACTCCAGGTAGTCACTTGTATTTTATCAGCTACTTTACGTAGATACACAGGCTAAAATAATATTTAAGAAAGCTATTTTTAACAAAACATTTCACCACCACCACCAAAATGACATACATTGAAGCAGCATGGAGATTTGAAAGCCCTGTGTCCTGGCTGCATTTTGATGGTATTTTATCATCCATTGGGGAAATAAACCCATCAGCATCATCTTCGAATTGGTCCAGAAGGCATCGTGCACTGAAATCTGTTTTCAGAGTGACCATGAAGTCTGGCTTCGAGTTGCTGTCATCTTCTGACCCTTCCTCTTCTTCCTGAAGATACACAGCAACCCCCATAAAAATCTGGTCACTTTTTGGAGCATACTTTCATTACAAGTATCATTTAACAATCATTTAATTATCCAGACACCATATAGTTTCTTCTGTATTTATATTTAGCAACATGTACATTACAGATATATTATTTAGTATATACACAATAACACAAACAACACAGCCACTCAGTACAGAAAACAGACGAAAACTATTTTAAAATGAGTGTATAGCGTGATTAATATGTTGTCAGGGTGGGGATAGGAAGGAACAACCATCATAATTTATAACCTAAATGAGATGAACCAAAAGGATCCAAAAATTTCCAGCTCTGACAGCACAAAATTCATCACCAGTAACCAGTGCTTTAAAGGATTCTATTACTTGTGTATCTCAGAATTTTTTAAAAACCAGAGTCTGAACATTTTCTGAAATCAAACAATACAAGCTTTCTATTAAAGAATTGAGATTAGAAAATATTTTAGGGTTGCTTAATGCACAAAATTTTAGAGAATTTTTAAGAAGACTGAAACATTATATTCTCATGATTGAAATAAGAAAACTGAAGCTTTTCCAAGGAAATTCCAAGGGCCACATTTGTATTTTTCAGCATACAAGATTCTAAGAAAAGTATGATATTCTCTGTACTGATAATGCAAATAGAATAATAAAGCCAAATCAGCATTCTTAGTGCCAATTTAAGGCTATGTAAGCCTGAGGAAGAAATAATATCAGAGTCTGAAAGATTTCCAAAGAAGTGATTTACTACCGAAAGGCAGTCAGACCACAGAGAATATCTTACTATCTTAAAAAATTAAAAAATTGGTTCAGAATACAGCTACATGAACAGCAGTATGCATAGCATCAATGATTACAGGTAAACCAAATGGCTTCCATGCCAGTACAGGAAAGAAAATCTTAGGAGGCAGCAGCAGTTCCCGCTGGAGGGCAAAGTACAAATTTGCAAATGGCTCGTGGTGAATTTTGGTATGCTTAATAATGGTGCCTCTGAAGAGAAATAATGTGAATAAACAAGCAACCAAACAAAGCAAAATAAACAAGGACTATCATATAACTGATCAAAGCATCACTATGAAAATAAAATTGGCAAAAGCGAGGTGGCTTTTCCAGGTTGTCTCAGCTATGACTTCAGCTCTTGAGTCTCTTTGCTTGGTCCACAGAAGTGAATGCCTCAGTAATACATTTTTCATTTAAAATTGTTAAAATATTTTTAAAATTACAAAGCAAAATTGACTTTTTAAATAAATAATTTGTTTCTTTTTGTTTTAGTAAGAGTAATAACGTTTCCCATCGACATAGTTTGGATAAAAATAGAGATAACATATGTCAGGTACCTCACAGGCACACCTGGGACACCCGCTGTGGCCATCACTTTTCCCATCCCCCTCCTCCTGCCCCTCCCCTGGATAAGGAAGACCGTTCAGAAGCACCCTCAGGTAACTCAGTGGAGGCAGGAGTTGGGGCCTGCTTACTGCTGTCCCCAGAGCTTGGCAAATGCTTGCAGATGGCCAATAAACGGCTGTTAAGCAGTCTGGTAATTCAGTTTGAAAAGAGAACTACAAAAAACTACTATTAGAAGAGCATAAACACCTGGACAGCTAACAAAGTACAAATAAGAACTTAACGACCTTTAATGAAATCAGGTGTCTAGGTCTTATCAATTACATCCCAAAGTTATGAGAGAACTTAAAAATGTGAAAGTGTGCCTTGCACATAGTGAGCACTCAATATTTTTTGAGATAAATGTAACAAAATTACTCTCAGTAGCCTTTGAAAATCATGAGGAAAAACAGCAAAATAGACTTTCAAGTAAGACAATCATTTTAAGTGTTGTGGATACTGGGTAGAGTCTAGAAGGAATTGATACATAGATAATGTATAAGCAATTGGGAAATCAGTGGTCAACTGATGAGTCTGGTTCCTTAAAAATGAGTCATGAAAGTGAACCATTTTTCCTTTTTTGATAGATTGACGTAGTATTTGGATTTCAACGTACAACCAGGTAAGCAGACCCTACAAAAGGAAAGCTGGCTGCCCGTTTTCTGCTGTGTAACGACTGAAGGGTGGCGTGAACCTGAAGGGCAGTCTCCAGAAGCCCCTTTACCTGAATCTGCTTACTCAGTATCTGAGTCACTTGGACAAAGAAAAAGCATATTCTCAAAACGTATAGATAATACGAAGTGAGTAGGGATATCTGATATGTTGGAATATAAAAGCTAGATTTAGTCTATCTCATACAGCGGAAATAGAAGTATAAGATGCAACAAATTGGAAACATTCAAGGTCCTATAATTAGCTTAGGAAAAAGAAAAGCTGGACACACCAGTGGCAGTGCACAAGTATACAGCAAAGTATGAGTCAACTATGTGCCAGGGCCATGAGCAGTGGTTCTCAATGTGGGTGATATGTCCTCTCAGGGATATCCGGCAATGTCTGGAAACATTTTTGGCTGTCACAACTGGAGAAGGGGTGGTGGCAGCATACTACTGGCCTCTAGCGAGGAGGCCAGGGACTCTGGTAAGCATCTCCCAAAGCACAGCACAGTGCTGCGCAACAGTTACCCGTCCCCAAATGTCAGCAGTGCCGAGGCTGAGATACCGTATCCTCAGAAAGGCCAAAATGAATTCCCAATACCTTTGCATAGGCAAGAAACTGGAGGCATGAAAGGGCCTCAGCCATCTGATCAATATAAGGACTAGTCTTTGGTCTACTGTCCTAGTAAAACCATATCCAGATTAATGTCCAGTCCTGGACATCAGTTTTTTTTTTTTTTTTTTTTGAGACGGAGTCTTGCTCTGTCACCAGGCTGGAGTGCAGTGGCGCAATCTCGACTCACTGCAACCTCTGCCTCCTGGGTTCAAGCGATTCTTCCGCCTCAGCCTCCCGAGTAGCTGGGACCACAGGTGCGTGCCACCACGCCTGGCTAATTTTTTTGTATTTTTAGTAGTGACGGGGTTTCATCGTGTTGGCCAGGATGTTCTCGATCTCTTGACCTCGTGATCTGTCCGCCTTGGCCTCCCAAAGTGCTGGGATTACAGGCATGGGCCACTGCGCCCAGCCTGGGCATCAGTTTTAACAGCAACACTGATAAACCAGTGTGTGTGTGCACAGTAGAACTAGAAGACCACTGAAAGGTCTGGAACCCACATCACATAAGGAAGAGTAGGAGGAACTTGGATAACAGATTTTCACAGGGTATGCATAAGAGTGGGCAGGGCAGGTGACTGTAAATTCAGGGAAGAATCAGTATGTTTATTTCAAGTTGCTCCAGAGGGGAAACTTAGCCTAGGGTATAGAATGTAATAAATTGATAATAACTATGAATATTATAATTTCAACTGTTTTCATTAACGTTTTGTATTTATCAAACCTATACATTTAAAATTACATAATATGTAGTTAACAAAGATAATTATAAAACCAATAGTATAAGTTGTTAGTTATTATTACTATTCATGTAGTGAGGGACCTAACTCCTCCCATTGCTGTAGACTTTTTGAGCTTGAGGATGGAATCTCTCTGTAGGACAAATTTTAGTGGGGATTCTTATGTGGGCTAGGAGAACTGACTAGATGATCTCTAGGTTTCTTTAGGTTGGAAAATCTAGGGCTTTAGAACTTGAGCTGGCTCTAGTTCTTATACAGTTGGTTCCCTCCCAAAAGCATTTAAAACCAGGGAAGAGTTTTGGAGAAACCACTTAGATACAGTCTTATCTTCACACCCACCAAATTCTAAATTGCATCAGAATTGCCAAGAATGAGTACACTCCAGATACATTCCAATAGGCCTGGCCAACAGGAACAAAATGAACCAAAAGACAGCACTGTTTACAAAAGCAAGGTAGTCATTGCAAAATTATCTTAAATTTTGACCATGATGTGGGCCAGGAGATAAACCACAGCCAAAATATACTTGTGGGAAAAAAACAAAAAAAACAAATCAAGCTAAAGGATAAGAATTGGGATAAATATCCTTTTTTAAAAAGGGGATCATTAGGTTATCTTCAGTTCATCTAGTGAGACCATTATTAACTTTATATTTTGGATGTGTTCAAGAACACATTTTCATCTAGTAACGGTTCTATTGCATGCTGCTAAGAGAAACATGCTAATTTTCATGCACACAATTACCCAAATTTCTCCAATTACTGTGGTTTAATTCTTGGGTGACATTATCAGCCAGACAAAATTTGTCTTCATTAACATCAAGGCGTATTGTTAAGAAAATAGCTGTAATTTTTAAAGACACAATATAGTATATTGGTCCAAATTTCTAGTGCCGTGTTTAGAGCAATTTCATAAAACAAGTTATGGCTAATATAGTGAGCACAGTCATTGCCTGACACTGTAAAATTAGGCACATGAAGTATTAAGATCCGTAAAAGGCAAGAAAAGGAATACATAGAAGAAGACTTTATAGCTTATGGTGCCTTACCTCAGACAAGAAAATGGAGAAGTTCTCAATTGGCTTCCCTCAGTAGACAAGAGGCCCCTATATACTGAAATAATCATTCCTAACTACAGAACATAAGTGACCACCCCAGGCTTGGAACTGTCACAGAAATATGATCAGTGAAACTCTTAAAACTCACTTCTGCTCCAGGCTTAACTCTTGCTTTGGAGTTAAATGACTGTTAGAAGAGCAATCACTGATTTTTAAAAAATGATTGGCTTTGATTTTTCATCTCTAGAGTTCTGTAAAAGGCAGTCCAGTTTGCTCAGTTGTCTAGCAATAAAAACATAAAAGAGGCCGTTCCTAGCACAGGCCAATCAGGGTCCCACAGAGACACGCTGATGTATGGGCACAGATTACATCTCCCATTCTAGCAAAAGCAGCCACTAATGACAAGGATTATCCATAATTATTACTGGAAAAAAAATCAGGACATATGTTCTGGAGGCTATCAGTCATTCATAGCATCTCATTCATAGATTAAGAGCAGATTTTAAAATTAGTCCTGGGGACTAAATGTGCTGTGGGAAAGTCAAGAAGGAAGAGCGGGAAATATTGTACCAGCAGATCTGTCAAAGACGAAGATATTTGTAGAATTACAATTTTTCACTGTTACATATGTTTATATATATATTTCCTTTGTTAATTTTGGTTTTTCTATAAACAGTATATGAGATTTTTTTAAAGTTAGTCTACTGAACTAATTTAAGATTTTGGAATACAGAAAATCCATTCCCCAAATACAGAAAACAAAACCAAACGAAAGCACTTGGATAACCAAACCAAAAAAATAATAATCCCTGAAAGCAAAGTAAAAACAATGCAAACAACAAACAATACAAACAAAAGAGAGGGGGAAATAAAATGAAACTAAAGAAATCAGCTAAATGAAACTAGAGAAATCAGCACTCTTTAGAGGGAACTGTTCAAAGCTGGTTATATGCAGCTACTGATTTTTAGGGAATGCTACAAGAAGCCATCACCAAAAGACCCGATCACACCCCCTTTCCATTCACCGGAGGGAGGGAAGGAGGGAACTGGTGCGGATTTAGCAATGGGTTAGCAGCTGGGGTCTTCACCTTTATCTCCTTGAAGAAGGAAGCAGTTTCACCCTCGATAATTGGCTGCAGCAAAGGGCTTCTCCGCTTGCTGGAGGGGGAACCCTGTGACAGGTGTTAACAAGTAGGTTACATTCCGAACCCCTTTCCCGTTCCCTCCAGCTCTCGGCCTCCTTTGACCTCACCAGTATTTATTAACTTTTAACTCTGCATTCTTACCCCTCCCTGCCAAACGCTCCCAGGAAAACCTGAAACAACAAAAGTTCTTTTTTCCAAGTTGCTGCTTCCCTTCAGCGCCCACACACATAAATCAAGGAGGACGCAGTACAGCAAGAACAGCACAGGAGTATATCTGCAGACACTCAGAAGAAACCTGAGGAGAAACACCTGCCTCCCACTGCTGCCCCCACCAATCACAGGAACCACAAGAACAATTCGGCTGTAGTCAGCTAAAGAAAATCACGTAAGCTCAGAAAGCAATACAAAGGGGAGCTGACTTTTCTGTTGCATGTTCATCCTACTTTGGAGCACTAAGGGTTCCTGCCTGGAGAATGAAAACAACTCCTTAGATCTAATTGTTTTATTTGTCAGTTTAGGCATTTCCTCCAGAATACACTAAAGAGTGGCTTTCTTCATATATACCTGGTCTGAGATCTCTGGACCCTCCTTTCTTCATTAAATTAAATACATTGTTAAAAGAAATAGACAATATCCTAGGCCTAGAAATAAGAAGGCATTTAAGGTTGGGCCAGACAGGAGCAGCAGCTAAAATGCGTATGTATTGCAATGGCAACAGCACAGTGAGTTTGTGTCTGCTTATTAAAGAGCCTAAAGCCAGCAGAGGAGATGACAGTGCTGAAACAGAGGCAAATGTTTCCCCAAGAGATGGACAGGGGATGAACACCCCACTCATAAGCTGGGGGTGGAAACGCTGAGGCTGGGATGAGGGATGGGAGCAGGTGGCTGGGCCCTGAAGACTTTCCTGTCGAAGGCAAGCTGCTGCTCTCTACTCTTGACAAAATCAAAATCCAGGAGCCAAAAGCAGCAAAGTCCAGGGATGGTGGCCACTGACAGCACCTTCAGTTAGTAGCCTCCTTTCGTATACCTTGCCATATCCTCCAAAAAGAAGGGCCTCTTTTCTCAGGGGATTTTTGCTCTGGACATAATTCCCAAGGGAGTTATCCCTCTGTTGGATGGGAGGGACTATGAACAGAGGGCCTGGGGACCAGAGCGGCACTCTTTTTACTGAAGAGGCCTGGAGAAAGCACAGACCTGTCCCTTTGGTGCTCTGTCTCTGGCTGTGCATGTAGGATGGAGGTACGTGCCTTTTGGGCAAAGCATGTCCTCCAAAAGGAAAAAATAAATCCCATCAGTTTCAGATTGCCCATTTTTGATAAATGTAGCCTCAGGGGTCTTTGATAAAGTCTTCATTCCTCAAGCTTGTGGGTCATGGATAGTAAAGGCTGATTCAGCAATGAAAGCCTATTCTTTAATGAGAAAGCAGGTTAGGGCCCTATTCATAAATCCAGGGCCCAGTCAAGCAGAAAGGTGTTGTACCAGCCACAGGAAGGTATTCTACTCACAATGATGGGTATGGTGTTGGCTCGGGACAGGATCTGTTTGACCAGCCGGTACCTGTCATATAGTGGCTTCATCACTTGACGTTCGCTCTTTGTTACCTGAAAGGCAGGAATGAGAGTGGTGAGAAGCCTGCTGCTGGGAGTCACTACCAGCTGTCTAAGCATGCTCTGGGCCTTTGTAATTCCAGAGAAATTGCAGATGATGCAACCCTCACAACATTTATTTAAACTGATAATATTACTTATTCAATAAACATTTAGATTACCTACTTCAACTGCAGACCAGTGGACGTCACTCTATTGTAGTATTCCTTTTTCTAAATCAAAACTAGGATCATTCTTAGGTTCCTGCTTAAAACTCTTCAAGGTTCAGAGTTCCTAGATGACCATATTCTGGGTCCAGGGAAAGTGAAAGTATATATTTGCTATAAGATATATCATGTAGGTCAGGATTACAGGTGGCTCATGCCTGTAATCCCAGCATTTTGGAAGGCTGAGGTGGGCAGATCACCTGATGTCAGGAGTTCGAGACCAGCCTGGCCAACATGGTGAACCCCATCTCTACTTAAATAAATAAATAAATAAATAAATAAGCCGGGCATGGTGGCAGGCACCTATAGTCCCAGCTATGCAGGAGACTGAGGTGGAAAATCACTTGAACCCAGGAGGCAGAGGCTGCAGTCAGCTGAGATTGCACCACTGCACTCCACAGCCTGCGCAACAGAGCGAGACTGTCAAGGAAAAAAAAAAAAGACGTATCATGTAGTTCTGTAATGTGTTTGTCTTTCTCTTCTATGAAATTATGTTTCTAAGAACAAGATTCTGGCAAACAGTGGGTATTCAAGGAAGATTTGATGAAAAATACATGAACTGATTCATCTGTGTATCCTTAAAATCTGGCACAAGGCTAAAAATATTTAAAGGACTGATTCTCCAGGCAGTGGGGAGGACTCATACCCAGCTCCCTGGTATAGTGTTGGAAGCTCCTCATGCTCTATCTGCTGTTTCTCCTCCCCATCATCCCTCAAGCTCCAGAAATAAACCACGTTTTCTCAACACTTTTGTCTAATTCCCTCTGCAATGGCTTCCTCTTTGCTCTTTTGTTTGGCGAATTCCAGATCAACAGCAACTTCCCTGTGCAGCCTTCTTCCAACATCCCCCATTCTAGGAGACTCACGCATTCTCTCCTTTGTCAACACTGCCCCTTGCATACCCTGTAATTTCATAAATGCTTTTATGCTCTATTATAGCAATATGTTGACAAGTGTCTCCTTGAGACTGTAGCCCGTTGAGAACAGGAGTTTTTTTTTTTTTTTTTTTTTTTTTGTATCCCTAGTAACTATTTCAGTGCCTGACATCATGGAAATATTCCATAAATATCAGTCAAATGAGTGAATAAATATTTCAAACATAAATAGGTGTGCCTGATTCACAGATGCAGTCCCACTGGTTACTTAAATGGGGGAATGCCAGAATAGGATGAAGTATCTTTGCTTCAAGTTAGCTGTTTGTCTCCTGCATTCTCTTACTATTTCACACATAATAAGGCAAGAGTTTTAGAGGTAAGGAAGGCAAGTAGCATTAGCTTTGACCATTTATCTTATGGATTATTTTGACCCTTTAGCTTTAAAGATACTGGATTATGCAGAAATGGATTGCCCTTTGTTGCCCTTTATATTTGCCTTTCTCAAAGTGATAAACAGAAAGTGTGCTTTGGGTAAACAAGAATGATCGCCTTTTATTTCTTGCTCTTCTGTTATCAGATAACTAAAGGGCAACTGGTATTTTCCTGCTTCTACTATCTACCATGAGGAGTTTTATAATTTTATAAACAATGACTTTCGAAACTAGAAGGAACTCAAATTATTTTACAGAAAAAGACTAAGGCTCAAACCACAGGTGTCTCTACTACACACCTACCACACAGCTGCAGTGAAAAGACTGTGTCCAGTGCTGGCAAGGCTGTTGAACATCTGGAACTCTCCTTTACTGCTGGTAAGGGTGGAACACTTCAGAAAACTATTTGGCAGTACCTATTAAAGCTGAACTTACGATCCATCAATTCCACTCTTAAGTTTATGCCAAACAAAGGTGGCCTTAAGTTCATCAAAAGGCATCTGTAAGAATGTTCATGGCGGCACCATAATCCCAAACTGGAAACTGCCCATATGCCCATCAATGGTAGAATAAACAAAGTATGCTCCCCAAATTGAATACTACCCAACAATGAGAATGAGTGAACCACAGCTATATGCAACATTGTAGATTAATCTCACAAGGATAAAGCCGAGTCAGTTATGCCAGACACAAAACATACTGTCAGATTCCACTTATATAAAGGTCAAAAATAAGAAAAATCCACAGAGTTGGATGATAGTGGTTTTCCTCTGTGGAACCTTGAGTCATGGTACTGACCGGAAGGGAACATGAGCGAGGATTTTGGAGGATCGGCAACATTTTGTTTTTTTGTTCTGGGTGCTGGTTACCTGGGTGTGTTTACTTTGTGAAATTTCATCAAGACATATGTTTATAATTTGGGCTCTTTTCTGTATTTATGTTATACGGGTTAAGCATCCCAAATCTGAAAATCCAAAATCTGAAACTCTTTGAGCACTGACATGATGCCAAAAGGAAATGTTCACTGGAACATTTTGAATTTCGGATTTTTGGATTTGAGATGCTCAATCAGTATAATGCACATATTCCACAATCTGAAAAAATCCAAAATCCGAAACACTTCTGGTCTCAAGCATTTTATATAAGGGATACTCAACCTGTACTTCAACAACAGTACAACGATAGCCACAAATGAGTACGAGGAACAGAAATGAAATGACTTGTACATTGTCATATGTAAAACAATGGAATTTAGGACTGGGACACATGAAATAATTTTTTAAACACGAGATATATAATATGCTGCAGATGAGACTAAGGTACCTTCTAATGTCCGCACATGACACACGCTGAAATATAGCGTGCAAGATAAACAACAGACAGTTGAGCAACCAAAGGCATACAAAAATAGAAACAGGAAGCAGCCAGCATCCCGACTGCGAACTAGCATCCATTACTAGTTATTTGGCAGCAACATCTTTGGACTATAGCAGAAGACTTAGCAGGTAAAACCAACCAGCTATGACAAATTTGACAGCAACCAAATCTCCTTTCTTATTCTTTGTTCAAAAACAAAGTTTTCTACTTGGAGTAGATGAGGAAGATCACTGGCTTGCTTTAATTCTTTGGCTCATGACATTGATATCCAAATTTTCTACAAATTGCTCATGTTTTCAATTAGTGACCCCCAAGAACTAATCACCTGTGGGTGATCTGATAAAATCCAGTTTTTTTGACTATGGAGAGTTAAAACTCATGATTCCACCAAACCACTGTCATTTAACAGAAGCACCAAAAATACCGAAGATCTTTAAGTCTGAGGTGAGAGAAAGGTAAGAATAACTACTTTTTATCATAATCATTTTCATGATATATATTTAAAGCCAAAGGCTCAGTAATACTAAAAATTACTGCAACTTTTACCCATCATAATAGTGATCAGTGCTTGGTTTCTGAGTAGGGTCAAAATTTAATCAATAGCATATGAACAAAGCAGGACCTTGGTTGAACTGGCAAAAAAGAGCTATTAAATTGACCACGGGAATACTTTTTTCAACTTGACATCTCTATTCTTCATTCATCAGCTGCTCAGGGATTCTGCTGCCCACCAAGAACAGGGCTCTGAATGAGCTACTGACCTTCTCTTCACCTCAGTTTCCTGAATGGTAAACTGCAGAATTCAAATTAGAAAATCTGTATGCTTCCTAATTGCTTGGAAATGACTTTGAGCCAGGCACATAGTATATGATCTCTTCAAAATACTTTGACTCCTCTGGCTTCGAAACTTTATTTAAAGTGATACTGCTGTATGGTATTCCAATATGTGGAACTAGGGTTATCAGTAAGATGTATTTTTGCACATAAGTCAAAAAACATAAATATCTAGATGTGAAGATCTAAAGGGAGAAGGCAGCACTTCTACTGTCTTTCCTTAGGATTCAAATAAATTGTCATTTACTGGTCTCTTACTACCCTACTTGGTTGCCCCATAAGTTTCAGGTATTTCAAAACATAAAGGGAATGCTAGCCAATAATTACCCATTAATTAATGGCAAGTCTTGAACAGAAATCATAAAGGCCTGATCAGGCAGCTGGCCTGTCTTTAGCTTTTGTGATGGTTTTGGTCTTAGCCTCAAATAAAACTTCCCTACTGAAACATCAGTTTAGTTGCTGATACCTGGACAAACCCACAAAGCTGAAAGGTAAAATGATGGACATATATACTCTGAAGATAAAGAAAAATTAGAACTATGAAATATTAAGAGCTAGAAAAGCCTTATTATTTAGGTGATAAAATTAAGTACCAGAGAGGGTAATAATTTGCTGAAGGCCACAGAACTGGGTCAAGTGCAGGTTTATGGACTTTCAGTCCAGTTTTCTTTCAGAAATAAGAAGTAGGATCTTTAACTGTGATGATTTTTGGACTTGGGATGCTCAATCAATAGCACATCAATACAGCATCATCAATATAGCTCACTCCAAACAGAAGAGATATAGCATTATTCTCTAATAGGATTTGGCCAAGTTGTCTTCATAATAGAGAATTCTGCCTTCCAAGCTGACAATGTGCCTATATTGAACGTACAAAAATCTATGCTTATGAACAGTGTCATAGAAGCACAATTTGTGAAAAATTATGTCACAGACAAGAAACTATGCAGCCTCAAACTCTCCTTAGTAAAACAAGAAGTAGTCTGAGTTTGTATGTGACGGGTATACCTCTGAATCATCAAACTGCTAGAAGGAGAAGACAAAATGAGACGGATTCTTGTAACTGTTGCATTCTCGGCCCATTAATTTGAAAAATGTCAACTCTCTCTTCATTATCAGGTAATCATAGAAGGCTGTCTGTATAAAGATCAGAAAATCCAAAACAGCAGTTAACCAAAGGAGAGTATTTATAAATGCCTTCAGAATTTGCATTTAAATTTGAACATGGTTATATTTAGGGTCCTCAAGGTCTAAAAATACAAGAGTAAAATACTCCATTGAGGAAGAACCAGAAGCTCTGATCAGGTAACCCATTCTCTCCTATGTTTATCATCAAATAGTGGATACACAGACAGTAATACAGTGACACGTAGTTATTTATGGCACTTCTGTGACATGGTCTTTTGATGAAGAAGATTCTTAAGCATTGAAAAGGACCCACTTTAATAATAATAGGAAATTATATGCCTGTATATAAATGAGTGTTGTTTTTACATATGTGCCTGTCTGCAGAGTGCCCTGATACAGCAAACAGCTTTGCTAAAAATGTACGGAAGCAGCTGATTACAGTTTTGGCCTGAGATTTTGGTAGTTAGTGCCCTTTCAAATCAGTATCCGTAGACTCAGCAAATATCCATTGAGTTCTAAGCACCTGCTTTTCTAAAAAATTGGGGATTGGAGCAACAGTTTAACTCTGGAAGTACATGTACTTTTCTTCTAAGAAGGGTGTTATCCACATGGTATTTACTCTCCGGGGTCCATGGTAACACCATAAATCTAAGAAGTAAAAGTTTATTCTTTGATTGTTTTTGAACTGGCCAGATATCAAATGAACTCTGCTTTTTCTGAGGAGGTTGGAGCATCGTGTTCCAAAGAGAGAGAGGCAGAGAGTTTGGCCCTAGACCAGAAATGAATGACACTCAAATTTCCTAGAGCATTTGTTCCTCACCCTATGAGATGCTAGAATCCAGACCCACCTGAAAGAGCGATGAAAGACCAGAGAATAATAAGGCAGGGCCAAGAATAATAGTTCATATTCTTAATGATAAGAGGGCTATGAAGTGCACATTCTTTCACCTGATTTAATCATTTAATCAGAAGGAGGCCACAGAAAGCAGAGCATGTAATTGTAACAGAAGTGAAAATTATCATTGACTGTGCAAACCCAGTAAAAGCCACCCCACCCCACTTACTCAGTGGCAGACATCATACAAGTAAATATATACAGATAAACGTCTGTGTGTGTTCTGTAACATCATTTAATCTCCTTGGTAATCTATAACAGATATCTATTATATAGACAAGCACCAAGGCTCAGAGAGGTTACCTAAGCAGCCTGATGTCACAGGTCTAATCTCAGTGAGGCTGAGTTTTGAATCTGAGTCTGCTGATTCTACCACTCAGAGTGTCTGTGTGCTGACCCAGTCCAGGCTGAATGAGAGAATCTGTTCCCAACTCAGAGTAACAAATGCTACAGCACACAAACTACTCAGCTGGCAGCAAAGTGAAGTCTATGTAGAACACAGCTGTGAGCTCTTAAGGGACTTGGGCAAGGAAGTCCTCAAAGGTGTCTATCGATGTCATAACTCAAATCCACAGAAAGAAAAGAAGAAATGTTAAAGAAGGAAAACACACCTTTTTCATGAGGCTTGCCAGATGGCTACACAGAGATGGATACTTTAGGGTTCTGAGCCTATTGTGGAAAAGAAGCGTCTCTCTGATAAAAGAGGTTAAGAGGTTCACTTCTCCCTCTACATGTTTTGAATATTCCAGTGGAGAAGGAGAAAGTTTCACAATGTATCTGAGCTTTAGAGCATTTACTATTTGGTTCAATGCCTTTTAAAAAATCCCAAACAAAGCTTGGCTGAAACATGAACATGATCCCAGAGTGTCAGTATTTTTCCATTGCAGGGACAGGCCAGCAGAAGAAATCATCATCAGAGCCAGCATTTTTTTTTTTTTTACATTTAAACCTGATAAATTTAGAACTAAAATGCCACCAAGGAGACATTCTACAGATAGTTATTGGGCCCATGTCATGTGTCAGGTCTTGTGTTAAGACACTGAGAACTGGGGTCACCACTAGGTGCACGATGCCCAGAATCTTTACCTCCCTCCCCCAACACCTTAGAGTCTAGTGAATTATCCTGAAACGGTCTATATTTAAAAGAGCATATTGTAGATGAAAAAGACTATCATTATATAGTCATGGCCAAGACTGAAAAACAGATCTATACATTTTGGCTATATAAAAATAATCAGTGAACCTTAAACTTCACGCTTCCTTATACTTGCTTTTAATAATTTGTTTTGTTAGGTCCCCGACAACATTATGAAAAAAAGGTTTAAGAGTGACTGACAAGAAGGATGTCTGATGAAAAGTTCTTCAAGGAAGACAGCAGAACCCTATCGTGCTACTATCTCCCCCACAGCTAACAACAAACATTCAATCAATGCTTGCTGAATAGCAAGCCACCTCAAAGGCTTCCCGTTGTTAAGTGAAGGCAAAGCCATATTTTGGATTCCTCACACTTTTAGTTCTGAATGGCAGCTGGAACTTCTTTATAGACACACACTAGTTGCACTGCATTGCAGAGAGATTGAATTTTAGGGCAGATCATTGTAGATCATTCATAAAATGAAAGACACCTTTCATTTTATGGATGAGAAAGCCTACAATCAGTCACAGCTTATGGGGGAGACCTAGGGACAGGGAAGTCTTCTAACTCCAGGACTCTTTATGCCCTGTACTCTGTCCTCACGACCCCTGGCCTCTCCACCATTCTTTCTTTTGAAGCAGTACATTAATGACTAAATTTAGTTGCAAGCAAATTTCTTCACTAAGCCCAATTAAGTTCAGCATGTACTAGCTAGAAACTTTCTCATCAGCTAAGCCTTTAGACAGCTTAGTTATGGTGTACATATATAGTAACCTCCTTTATAAATCCTAAAAGTAAAGAAAGCAAACATTAGGGAACCCCATTTGCAAGATACTGAACATAGAAAATCCACTTCTAAAGCCAGATAATTGACCCCAATCAGAAAATCCACCACATCACATACCGGCCGTCCATGAATGCTTTCATAATATAACAGAGCCTTCTGCAGAGCCACTTTCTCATTAGCAATCTGGTCTTTGGTCATATCCTGTATAAACACAGGGATAGAGGATAGAGAATTGAAAGAGAAGGGAAATGTTTGTGAACATTCCAACTTCTTTACTTAAATTACTAAAGCAAGGCTAAAAAGAATCCTCATTTAACAGCTCTCCCTAGCTCTAGCCAAAGTTCATTTAGAAATGGGCTATTCCTGAGCTCTTGGGAAAAACATGGCCAGCACAGCAGAACCATCATCAGCCACTTAGGTCTCCCACATGGCAGCAAAGGTGCGGTGAATACTGAGGTAAGCAGGGCTGTGAGGCACATGGGGCTTAGCTTAATGGCCCAAGCAATGACGACGGTTCTAGGTTACATGGTCCCAAAGGTTTGTCTCTAATCCTTCTACGTCAGAGAGTCACCAAACCAGCTATTAACCTAAACAAGTTCATTCTGTGATCTATACAACAGAGTTTTGTTTTCAATCTGTAGTCAAAAACCAAAGCACCCACAGTTAATGTACTCTGCCATTGTTTCATTGGCTTCTCTAGACACTTAAGAGCCTGGAAGGCTTAACAAGGCATCATCTTCCCACTGGGATTCATGTGGCATGCCCTGGGTCTCTACCGCAGTGCCTGCAATGGCTCAGGGCTTATGACTTCACAGAATCACCGCACCTTTATGTCCTCAGGACGGCTGCTTTCCACTCGCTTCTCCTGGAGCTTCCTCTGAATAGATTCCAGTGTGGCTTCAACACTGGGCTTTATTGCTTTATCTGCCAGCTCTTGCTTCTTCTCATCTTCTTTCTCAAGTTGGGAACCAAAACTCTTGGGGAGTGTGTTGCTGCGCTGCCGCATCCTGGGAGTTAGGTCCTCTTCAGATATCTTTAGTTTTGACTCTAGTTGAGAAGATTTGGGGGAGAGATATATGAGACCTGATGTCTGCCCAACATAAACTGTTTTTCTGTGGTATCAATAATTTACTGGTTCTGTCTTTGTTCAGAGAGTATCTAGTTACAGTATCAGTAGAAATCCTTGAGTTGTTATGTAAAACCTGAGATAACGGTAACGTCTTCTTTGATTACGGGGAATGTTTTTCTAACACTAATTGCTGAGAATGCTTTAGCCACACCAGCCTGTATGATGTTCTCAGAATGTGACATCCTTCTTTCTTCAGTGTTTAAAGGTATTTACTGATCTAATGACCAACCACTGGCCAACCTTTTCTGTATGACTTATATACCTCATTTTGAAATTCGTCTAACTTTGTATTCTATTTAGTTGTTTACATGACTCTATCTCTGAAAAGATGGGAACATCTTTGAGGGACGGGGGCCAAACCCTTTGCAGATTCATCTCTGTGTCCATCTACCACCATGGCAAATGGAGACTTGGATTAAACAGGTGTTTGAGAGAGATTGACTTGAAACCATCATCCTTCTATTAGTGATCTAGGGAAATGAAGAAACGCTACAGAATTCGCCTCTTAGCTGATCTGGCTGCCCTATGACTGAGATCATGCGAAGACCCAAGGAAGTGGTCACTCTGAGTAGCTGGGAGTGCTGGGAAGCATCTTTAAGGACCCTGGAATGCCTGAGCAGTGGCACTCAGCAGGAGTGGAGGTGAGAGATTCTGCACCTGGCTTGTTGTACAGAAGCCACAACTCCAGAACTTTACCCACCTTTAAGTTGTCTCCGAAATTTGGCAAGGTCATTTGTCCATTTCAGAACCTCTGGATTGGCTGCTTTGTCACTGTGGGAAGGCTGAAAAAAGGAAGTCTAGAGTAAATGCTTTGGAACTGGAGCAAGAAAAAGAAGAAACGTTTGATGATCATTTTTGTTTTAAATAGGAAGGGAAAGTTCAGCCCCATCAGTATAAAAAATTAACCATGACCAATCAGAGCAAATGTCACAAGTGTAATTCCATTATCCTTTTTCACATTTGGTTATTTTGACGCTTTCAAAGAATTCTTCAGAGGCAAAATGCTGCATCTTTATCCTCAGGGACTTCTGTAAAGGTCCATGATCCCCCTGCCATTATTTGTAGGGTTCAACCTATAAGGCTAACAGGGTAGAAAACGGAGGAGTATATGATGTTTTGTCCTGCAACCATTATGAAAAATACCTTTCTGCCACTCTTGTGGGAAATGCTGGGTACAGAGCTGAGAGCAGAATGAGTTCAGTACTAAAGAGATTTCAGGACGTGTTGTTAAATTAAATTTTAGTCAAACAAAAGATTTCATTCTACAATTTCTATGGTTCCTGCTTACTGATTAATTTAAAAATGTAGACTTAAGCTTTCATTGTTTTTGTAAGAATACGGCTGTGCAGGAAAAATGCTGATACATGAAGACTGGGGTTTATCAGGGTGTGCTATCCAGGGTTTACTGCCTTTCTGTTGTAAGATTTCCTAGAAGTCTCTCTCAACCGTTCGTCATTTCTTTGAGTTGTTGAAACCCTGGCATGTCCAGGGAGAGGAGGAGGTGAAAAGAACAGTGTGAGGGGACACTTACTCTGTACTTCTTCTCTTCTTCGAATCTATCTTCAAACTTCCGGATCTTCTTTTTAAGGCTCTGAATCCTTCGTGTGAGCTGGGCGGGTGTCAGGTCCTCCTGCTCATCATCGTAGGACCCCAGAGAGGAGCTTCGCCGCCTGGGAAGAGTGCGACTTAGGTCAATTTTCCTGGGAGCAGTTACTGCTTGCTGAGAGGGACCCTGGGGAAGTGGGACACTATGTGGCATGTGGGTGTGTGTCGGGGCGGGGGACACGAGGCAGAGGCAAAACAACCTCTTCCTCTTGAATAGAAGACAGCTGACTGATCCATTTGAGCTCGGTATGTCCCGCCTAGTAAGTACATCGAGCCTTTTCTCGCTCACATTTACAATTAACAAGGCTAGGACTGAATGTCAACCTTTCCTGTGGGCCTAACGGAGTTGAATTGGAGAGCACTTTGGAAAGGGGAGGCTAAGAAAATTCAATATGTGATGTTGCAGTTGGGCCACAGCTCAAATGGGACACTACAACATGGCCCATGTACTAGGATGAAGAATTTCAAATGTTCCTCCGTAGGCTCATGACTTAATTTAAAAAAATCATCTGCCATCAGTGCCATTCCTATCTTTTCTGATGCTGTGGGGTGATGCATTTGCCTCTCAGCAATACAGAGAAACATACCTCATGAAAGAATGGGCGTTTGGCGGGGAAGGAGGCACTTCTGTGTCATCCAGGTATTGCCTGCTCTGCCCGTAAGCATAGAATCGAGGAGAGAGCATGGGGTCGCTGTCTTCATCCAGCAGCTGACGGATCAGGCGCCCGGCCTGCGGCGAGAGGTGGGCTTCATCAGAGTCACTGTTCTCCCGCTGCCAGGTGGAGAAAGCAGGGATAGGCTCTGCAAAATGACAGTGGTAAAGGGTCAGGGTTGTTCTTCAAAGCGCAACTGTTTCCCAGGCTTCCCAGATGCTTTAGGAAGCTGCCCATTGAATCGTTTTTCATTTTACAGCTAAGGTCCAGACTAAGGACCCAAATGAACACCAGTATTTCTGACAGCCATCAACTACCTCTCATCTCGATTCTCACTTGTTTTCCAAAGAGAATTTGCTAGGGCTACCCTGAGGAGCAGCCTTAAAGCGGGGATGCCCAGTAGATCAGTGCTAAAAACTCTTCCACTTGATGGCATCATTGAAAAGAAAATGTGTTGGCAGGGAGGATATTTGGCATCGCAGCTGTACATCCTTTACTGAAACAACTGAGGAGGAAAGCCAAGGAACCACATCAATCTTGAGAGAGCCTATGTATTTAGGAGTTGATAACTTCCCTTGATGTCATCCAGTAAGCTGTTTTGTGTGCTTCTGCTTAGTGTGTTGGGATTAGCACATTTAAGATGCATGCTTTGTGCTTGAAATTTCAGAAGCTGCTCAAGACTCCAGTTAGAGTGAGATGCATTCGTAAATTAGCCAACAGAGGAAAAAGAACACCTTACAAAGGGCAAATCTGGACAAATCAGTTGAGGTAATCTGCTACAAAAAAGTAACATACTCAGCACAAAATCTTGATCTGTCATTTAGGGAGGGAAGAGGGCAACTGTTTATTTCTATTTACTTCAAGACTTACCTCAATGGGTTCCTTTCCTCATAACAACAAAAAAAAAATCCCATCTAAAAGATTTAAAAAGTAGATGTCAGAAGATATAACGTATTTCGTTTGTAATGTTTGCATTATAAAATTAGTTATGCTTTAAAGTTACTTGTAGATTACTGTGTTTACACAAGGCTGGAATTCAGCCATGATCTTACTTTCTAGGATTCCTAGACTTTGAATCACAGAACAGTTGCTCCTCTAACTATCATACTATAAAATGTGCAAAAACTATCTTAAATAAGTGTTTTTTAAGGCTTCTATTTAAAAAGATATTAAAACCATAGACTTACAGCTGGGTGTGACTTCATACCTCAACTAATCTTGTGATTTCTCCATCCCAGCTGCACATTAAAGTCACACAGGGAAGCATAAATGACTACCAGCACACAGGTCCTCACATCATCCAAGTCAACAATATTTAGGTGAGGGCCCAGATACATGCCCCTCACACAAACATGAGTTTAAAAGCTGTTCAAGTGATGCTCTTGTGCAGCCAGGCTTCAGGACGATTGATCCAACCCAGCAGATGACAGACAAGAAAACAGAAACCCCAAGAGCTGGGACTAGAAGCTAAGTCTCCTGACTTCCAGAGCAGTGCTTCAACTTAGAATGTGCCAAGTGCTTCTATAAGAGTGGCAACTTTCTGAAATTTCTGTAGACCTCACAGAATAATAGGGAAGATAAGCACATTCATTAAAATTAACCTTATATGAAATGAGGTCCATAGGTTGTCAAAATGTAAAGAGAACTAGGTTATCTGGAAACGCAGACAAAAATACAAATATTTTGAGAAATGAAAGCAGTGTTAAAGATTGATTCTTATCTGTTGAGGCTCAAGAAGTGGCAGAGAACATGCTGGTAGATATGCGTGGCTAAAGCCAGAGACGAACAGGAGGTGTTTCATCATTTGTACTAACACTATCGGTCTGCCCCTCCTAAGTGGTAGGTCAGAACCACCAACATGGAAGAATAAAAAATGCACTGAGAGGTGATGTAAGGGCGGGGGGGTGTGGAAAGCAACCCCTAGAAAAAATAAAACATGTCAGCTGCAGAAAACGGAACTATTAAACTGCCATGATATTTCATAAGGCAGAAGTAATTCTGCAAGGACTAAAACCCAGGAGGGGGAAAGGGTTAAGATGGCTTGAACAGTAATGCAGCAGGCAGTAAGCTCACCGCAGAGTGGCAAAGGGGCAAAGCGACTGGGGGCAGGGCACGAAGCTTTTCTCGGGACAGAGGGCTTTGGCAAAGCGAAGTCTGGTGTTGATATTGGCATATGGGTGTGCTGCTTAGTTTGACATTTCTACTCAGAAAAACTGAGTTTAAAAGGTGTTACTTTACATCCTGAAGCTCTTTAATGTGTTAGAATCTAGAAGAATATCTCCTTAAAAATGTTACAACTGCTCTGTAAGTTTTCAACCAGGTGGTCTCTGTGTATAAAAAATTTTACTTTAAGAGTGTGTGATAAGATAAACTGTGATCTTGACTTCACTATGAAATGCTAATCAAGGAACTATTCAATAATCATGCTTTGATGCTCTGTGGCTAATGACAGGGCCGTCCATCGGTTTTCTTGTTTGTTAACACAGCTTTATTTTGTGGCTTTATTCTTGACTGATCGCTTTACTGACCGGGAGACCAAGTGTGTCCTTTTCCTAGTGTCTCCAGTAGTGTATGGGAAATACACAGCTGGAGCAATTCCAGCTTACCAGTGATATTTTCTCCCAAAGCATATACTTAGGGTGAATGAATTCACTTATTTTAAAATAAGAAATGTAAGACTATATGAATTTCAACCTTAATAAATAGGTACGTTTCATCATTAGTCTGCATGTAGAACAGAAGTGAAAGTTTTCTCATGTGTGCAACACAAAATGTTTACATGATTCTCTTCTCTCTTTTCTGTTATTCTGTCGTCTTATAATTTAAGGCTTCTACTCAAAATGACATGTAATACACAGTTCAATATAACTAAGGAATCAATAAAACTGTTCCCCATTTTAGTTCAAAATGATCTAAAAGCATTATCTACAAGGCTCCTGTTTTGATAGTTGGCACTCAACTACAACAACAATGAAGAACTAAGTAAGAGCAGTGTGACAGACAATAGGTCCGACTGCACTGCCTGCCTAGAGAGCCGGTTTTGAGGATGTATCACGGACCATTCCCAGTTGCTACTTTGGGAAATATTTCATATTTTAACTAGTAACTCTAGAGCAGGGAAAGAGACAGGGATGCTGCAAGAGAATTATTCAAAAAGAAAAACAGGAGGGGTGTGAGGCTTCACACTGGACTGTTTTGCTAAACCAACACATACAATAAATGCATTTTCAAATGTAGACCAAAATTCCTTGTGCACAGTTAGTTTTGCTTTGAGTCATGTGTCTTGCCACAATGAACTCTGGACATAAGTATGACATGCCTCTCTATTAAAAATTAATCCACCCCGGTCAGTTGACATCGCAGCGGGTCGGAAATAACAGATAAAAGCTGCACGTTTGCTACTGAAGTAATAAAAAAAAAAAGGCCCTGGGGGAGTTCCAATTCAGACACTATAGCACACATGGATATAACAGAAATTTTCTGTAGAAACAGGGAACATATCTCTGAATAATGCTAACATGGTCACTGGGACATAGCTACTCTCTGCTTCGCTGGCTGGATCCACTTACCATGCAAAAGAAAACTGGTTATTGAGATGATTTATTTCTCAGAAATCTGCACAGAATTAAGGGGGCTGATGTTTTCCACATTTCCTTTCCAACTATATTATTTAGAGCCATTACTCCTCGGCAAGATGTAACCATCTTTCTGCTCAGCTGAGCTAGGAGGTAACTGCACATCCCAGATATAGAAAGACATAAACCTCACGGTGGAGGCTCTTTACTGGAAGAATTTTATAAAATATTCTTTAGTGTTCCAAAATTTAACTTTAGAACAATGGTAGTCCTATCAAATTGTTCAACCAATCTTGTAAACTATCAGAAAGAACCAGAGTGGTCAGCTTTATCAATCACAAATTTAATCTTTACATTTCATGTATCTGCTTTGTCCCTGTTTGCAAAGTTAATAAGCAAGCTATTTAAATCATTAATAAATATGTGGAACAGGATAGGGCTGAGGACTTTTTACCTGATGAGAACACCCCCATTTGAGTTGACTTTGATCCATTTATCTGCACATTTAGGAACAGTTGCTTAATCAGTTACTAATTCACTACCCTACCTGTCTTCTCTCCCACTTCTCTGACAAGGCTGTCACTAAGGTCCTGTCAAAGGCTCTGCTGAGGTCTTTTCAAAAGCACCATTTCCCTAATCTAGAGTCTAGTACTAATATTATCAAAGAAAGAAAGGAGGTTGGTGTGACATGGTTAATCCTTAGTAAATCTGTAGAGGACCTAGTAATCACTGATTCCTCTTGTGTTCAGAGCTGTCCATGGCCATTTGGTAAACTGCGCTCTGGTTTCAAAGAAGGCAAACTTAGTCTGATTCTTCTTGAAACTATACTTGGAAACATTTATGGAAGATAAAACTAAGACTCACATAGTGCCTACTATGTGCCCATACTGTGCTGAACACTTAGCATATTTTAGCTCATTTAATCCTTGCAATAAACTTATCAAGTAGATACTATTGTATCTACTCTTCATTATTAGGTACTGTTACCATCCTGCTTAAAGATGGGGAAATTAAGGTGAAAACCTAGACATGTTTACCAACTTGCTGCAAAGCTGATAAGCAGCAGAGCCAGGGTCCGAACCCAGGGAATCTGGCTCTTAACCACTTTGATCTATTTCCTGTAAGGATATAAAACTGGCATTGTTTAGAAAGAGGCATAAGGTAGAAGTGAGGAGACTTTTGCCTTGAACCATCATTTTGCTTCTTTTGCCTCAATTGTCTTATCTGTATAGTAGGAAGGCTCAAGTGGAAGATCTTTTAAGATCTCTTGCTTTTCTACGATACTTTTAAAGAATTTCCTTTCCAGTTATTTCCAATAAGTAGTAACTGATGAACTGGATATATGAAATACCCTATGCCGTTTTTAAAATACCACCCATCTCTTGATTTTTTTGAAGTGGGGTATTGCCAGGCTGCCCAGGCTGTTTTTGAGCTCCTGGGCTCAAATGATCCTCTTGCTTCAACCCCTAAGTAGCTGGGACTACAGGCGAATACAACCATGCCCAGCTTAAAATGCCCCTTTAAGTTTAATTCCATCAGGACCTACTGAATAGAGTAGCTGAGTGCTTAAGCTCCAGTACTTACACAAGGAGTATCCTCAAATCAACATAATTGGCTGCTTGGGAACATTCTAATTATGCAACTCTGAAGAACTTTAAAACACAGAGTACTACATAAAATTTGTGTATTCATTTAACTCTGGAGATTGAAAATTCTAGTAATAGTCATGTGGATAAATCAAATAATGTGTCCTAAAACAGCTATATATATTTTAAAAACATAGTTTGCTTAGTATTTGCCAATAAGCATGAACAGACTTGGATCCTACATTCACTTTGCGAAGGTCCCATTCTACATAGCTTATGGAATCTATTTAGTAGTTTTATTTCCCTTTCTGTTTCCTTGTTAGTGAGCCTCAGAAACCAATGAACATCATTTCTGTGTGGACGGGCAGTACTTAGTGAACAGCCTGCTGGTGCTCGCCTCTGCAGTAAGTATTGCCTGACATTTTACAATTCTATATTAATGAGAATATGAGCTATGGTATGGGGATGGGAAGGAGCAATCACACCGAAAAAGAGGGGATGGTAGCTTGAAGACTGGTGATGGGGTCCTGTATGTGGATGCTGGTTCACATGGTTTTTGGTAATTATGACTCTCATTTATATATTTTGTTGCACCGGCTTCACATTCACAAATTAGTGCAAAGTCTATTCCTTACTGGAAAGACACTATTTTGTTTCTTACTTTAGCTTTTAGAAAAGTGATATGTTAGTGATCAGACTTATTACTCTCATTTTATGCAAAAATTTCTTTGATTATAGTTATAGCTATATTAATGCTATAATGTAACCTAGAAAGTTATAATAAGTATATAATCTTTAAAATAAGATCACTGAAAGCAGTAACCAAATGATCAGAATAGCCTTGATGTGAACCCACGTAGATTTTAAAGATATGTACATTCAATGACAAACACAGTAACTGGCAAAACAAAAACAAAACAAGTTAAAGCAAGTGATTTCAAAAATTACTTGAAATATACAATTTACTTTCCCAAGCCTATTGAAATGCAATGCATTTTTTTCCCAATAACCTTTTAAAAATATACATCTAGATTTCTAAAATAAAACATTGGTTCCTTCAATTATCTGAAAGAAAACTTTTTATGTTAATAAAATAGTTTTAAGGAAACTATAAACTGGTTTTCTCAGTCACTCTGAAGAGTATTTTCAGCTTTATATTAGCCTTATTTAAGTGGCTGGGAGAAACGATACATTTATGACTAACCAAGATAAAAATAATCAAACTGAGTCCATTTCAGGAGGAAGAAAAAAAATGTGGCTAATTTGAATTTTAACCAAAAATTCTAGTTTTTTTATAGAGCTTTATGGCAGACTATATGACTAAGACTCACATGTAACATTTATTTTTTGATTATTGCATTTTTCTTTTATTTGGGTAACAGTGACTACTATGGGACTTTTTGTGGGGGATGGGGACACAGGTTGTTTTTAATGTACGAATTAAAAACTAATGTGATTATTTCAAAGTACTCAAAAATGAAAGAACAGAAAGGTACTCAGGAATATATAACTTAAATTAAAAATTAAACAACCCTGCATTTTGTTGCTGAGTGAATGCATTTTGAGCTGAAAATAGCTGAAAAAATTGCTAATCCACTGCCGAATTATATAAAAAGAACTAAAACAGGTTTCTTAGATTTCAAGGACAGGGAACTAGAATAAAAAAACAGTGTGTTTTCACTAAAGCCCTGGATACCAGAAGCATAGTGGGGTTTACTCTTTTTCACCTGGTGGTCTTCTCAGATCTTCTCCTGATCCTTTATCTAAGGTCATTAACATAACTTCTTGGTTAAAAAAAAAAAAAAGAGAAAGGAAAGGGGGTAGGGAGAGAAGACAAGGAGATCCAGGTGCTGAAACGGGACTGATTTTTCACAGCTGTGACCCCCCGGGAAGTCATTGTGTTAAGTCATCCTGCCGTATTGAAATCAGGTGCACAATTTTTCCCTCCTCGAAGCCTCCACGCACATACTATATAGAGGTAGACTGGCATTTGTTTTGGATCCACGTTGGTATGTGTCTGGATGTAGACACATGGATCATGAAAGGATAAGCAGCTTGATAAAACTGCTGCAATATCCTCCCTGAAACACAGTTTTGACAAGGATACTCTCTTCTTCCTCGCAAGTACATTTCTAATGTTTTCACCAAAAGTCTCTAGAAAGAAAACAATCTAAAGCACTGTATTACAGGCTTTCAGGAAGATGCACGTATTCACTGTTCCTTTTGATAAGCAATTCCCTTACATTTGCTAACCTGAAATAAAATCTATCCATAAAAACAAACGTAGACACAAAGCAAACCAAAACGGCGTTCTTGAAAAATGGGAAGATTTAATGAAAGGCAGGTGGCTGGCATGCAGCAGTGGGAAGATCGCGCTACAGAAGGTAGAAATCCTAAAAGCACACAGGTTCCCTATTACTCTCCTTGGTACTATGAGGGGGAAAAGACATGCACAGATCAGTACTCCTGGTGAGTTACAAAGAAAAAAAAAAAAAAAGGCCTGCAAGGTGACACTATGATAAAGGGCAAGCCTATTTCCTTCCTTAGATTGCAACTACCCTCAGCAACATTTACCCTGAGGTATTCCTATGCCAGGTCAAGGATTTTCAGTCATTTAGAAATGCTGTTACTTCTGCATGCATAGCTCTCTCTCTCACCCACACTCTCATATGGTTACATGCCTCTCATTTGTGCTTATTTATCTATGCTTTTCTGATAGTAAATCATCCTATCAAACGACCCTACCTTCCCAGTTCTTCTCATCACACAATGCAGTCAGGTCCAACTGGGGCACTTCGGAGACAAAGCTCTCTTGCTGGTCACCGGCATCTTGATTCCTTTGCTGTCTGGTGTCAGATAGGCTGGGATGCTCCTGGATCTTCATTGTGGGGCTCTGCAAAAACAGCACAATGTACCCAAATACCTACTGCTCACCCAAAACCCAAAGACGGCTGCAGCAATTCCACTCCTTTAGGAGAAAACCTCCCAAGCCATAGCTGCCAAGGCATCCAGCACAGAAATACAAATCATGGCTTGATGCCCCCCGGATCCTAGCTGGCCACTTGCATGCAAAAAGCAACTGTCCATCTGTGCTCCTTTAACTTTCCTCAGGCTGCTTTTCCCGATGACTGCAGGCAGCTGACAGTCTCGGTGATTACTGATTGGGGCCAGGAATGAGGGAAAGGAGTTTAGTGTTTTCTTAAAGGAGTATGGATCTCCAGACTGTAAACAACAACAAGGAAAACCGGGCGACTGCTGTTGCTAAGGCTGTAGCAGCAACATGGTGTCTTTCGCAGGTGGACTTCTTTGCCCCTTAGGTAAACAGTCCTGCAAGCCAGGAACAGAGGCTGTGTACGCGAAAGCTCCCCTGCTGGCCCTGGCTGCTTAGATCAATTAAACGGGGCTAGCTGCACATTCCCAGATTTCCTGTGGTTGTTTTCTCACTGAGTATTGGGAGAACAGACTATTTATGGAGGAGCTCTGGGTATTAAAGCATTGTTGCGCAAATTCAAACAGCACAGGGGTTTGGCGTCTCATCTCAGCTAGCAGTAAAGAATACGGACTCTGGAAATGAGCCAAAATTACACAGGGAGCAATTTTTTTTAAAGTAAAAAGTCAAGAGCTGGCAAGTCAGTGATGCATAATTCATGCCTTACAAATAGGCAACTGTCACTTGTTTTTCTACTATTCATCTACTCTGAATATTAAATACTTGGCTACACTTGGTTTTGCTTATTGGTGGCACCCACATTAGGCTAGGACCTCTGAGGGATGCAGAAATCCTCCCCAAAAGGCTGATATTCAAGTTAATAATTTTATGTTTAAACAAATTGCGCTGGAATTCTTTTTTTTTTTTTTTTTACCTTGCTCTCTGGGCCATCTGTAAACTCAACCATTGTCACTCTTCCCTGTCTCATACAATTATAAACAAAAGTGTTTATGAAACAGTTGGCTTACAAATGTATTCCTTAAGTAGCACAGATCTGTACAAAAGATTTTCTTTAGGATTAACTAGAAATGTATTTGGGCAAATATACTATCATTAAATGAAAACATTAAAAACATCTGGAAATCATAAGTGATTTCATTAATGTAAGAGAAACGTTCCGATGCTTAAAATAAAGCACAACTTAAGATTTCCAGCCACTTTTAATAGCTATCCAACCTACTTTGAAATCATTTGGGAACAGCCAGGGCTTTTTATGATTATATTTCCGTTAAATGATGCATGGAGACTGATATTTTCTTCACATTTGAGATAAAATGAAATATCATCAATCAGGTCATGATGAGCTACTAAAGTCTTATAGAAATGCCAAGTAAATCTGGAGCTTTAAGATACTTTTAAAATGCTGTCTGTTTACTGGGGAAAAAAAACAGATTAGGCATTTATGTCACAAAAAGTATTTTTCCCTTGAGCCAAAGCCTAAGCGGACCAGAGACAAATGCCCAAATGGCAGTTCTCAGCTTTTCACGTTACAAAGCCACTCAGTTACCAATCGTGTGTGTGCCTGGGTTGAGGGGGATGGGGGTTCAGGCAGGAGGAAGCAAAAGAGTGAGAATATGCATATATGCATACAGCAACTCAGCATTTTCTCAACAAAGATTTATAATGCTTATTACATTTACAGGCATCAAAAAAAGAATACCAGAAATATGATTTTAAAGTATCATATTTCCTTCATAAGGAATACACATCGAGTCATTTAAACCATAATGCCATAGAGAGGACAAGAGTTTGGCTTACAGGCAGACCTGGGTTTGAAGGGTGGCTCTGACATTTACTAGCCTGGTGCCCTAGCTGACTTGCTTCCCTTCTCTAAGCCTCTATTACCTAACCTTTAAAATGGCATTAGTGATACCAATTTTGCAAAGTTCTTTGGAAGATCTGTCAGAAGGTATGAAAGACCCCCAGCATGGTGTCTGGGGCAGGAGAGACACAAATGGAAGCCATCATTCTTTCTCTGCTACTATTTGACACCATGTGACAACAAATGAGTGAAACACTGGCACACCTCAAAATTGCTAGAGAGGGGAACAGGAGACAAGGCAAAGACAATTGCAATTTGAGGGGAAGCATACTACAACAAAGGATGGAAGACGGCGTTGAATATATTATGAAAAAGTACGAGTGAAAAGAGCCACTGGTGTATCCGTCATGAATCAGCAACAGAAATTTTGATTTGGTGGCAGATAGGTGTGGGCTAGAGGGATGAGGGAAGACAGCTCATCACACAGAAGGAAGGAGGAGTAACAAGTGCACATGTAGGTGTGAGAGCATGGCACGCTTGGTCACAGCAAGAGTTTCAGGGTGACCAGCCCTTAGGACAGGAAGGGGGAATGGCAGATGACAAGGGTGTCAGCTAAGTAGACGCTGGACTGTGAAAGGCCTCATATGCTGGGCTAAATATTATATACTCAATAAATATTATTTCATAATAGTGCTGCCTATTATGTCAGGTGCTAGAGATACAAATACAAAACTTATTCATTCAAAAGAAATGATTTTTCAGTACCTGCTATTTGCTAGTTTTTTCACACACTGGGGAAACTATGGTGGACAAAATAAAATCCCTGTCCTAATGAGTCTTACAGAGAAGACAGTTAATCAACCAAAAACTGTTAAGGCTCTGGAGAAAAATAAAGCAAGGCAAGAGGGATGTTGGTGGTAGTGGTTGAGGCCTCTATTTTATATTTAGTGGTCAGGGACAGTCACTGGGATAAAGTGACAGGAAGTGAGAAAGTGGGCCATTTGTGGAAAGAACATTCCAGGAAGAAAGAAGACAAGTGCAAAGGCCCTGAGGCATGGTCAGTTTTTCTGTGTTTCAGGAATAGTACAGAGGTCACTGTTTTTGGAATCTTGCAGAGGACAGCCAGAGCCACCATAAACAGAAGGTGAAGATGCGTCACATATAATGAGGCATTAGGTCATTCACACATAGACCTATGTCAACTTACATGAGGTACACTTCCTGGCTGATTTGTGGCACAGCAGTGGAGAGAGCCCTCCTACACAAACCTACACCAACTGCCACAGCCCCGGACACACTAAGCCCAGCACGCGCTAACCGCATGTGGAAATGCACATGCAGGTTGGCCCTATCCTGCTGTGCTCCCATCAATCCCTGAGGCTGCTGTCTTACATGCCCGAGTCCCAACTTTTGGCCCTGCTGGTCTATGAACCTGACAGAGTTGCCTTGCCTGGGGTTGCAGACTGCTGATGGTTTTCTGTACATGTGGGTGCTGGGGATGCTGTCCTATGTCCTACGGCCCATGGTGAAGTTCTTCAGGCTCCATAAACACTAGCATAAAAACTGCTCTGCCTTCAAATGGTAGCCTAGTCTCGGTACAGCATCTTGCCCAGTTGCTCCACGCTCTCTAATAGGGCTCTTTAGATAGTATTGCAAAGATTATCATTTGTCTATATCTCCCACTAGGTCATTAAGTTTAAAACGTCAAAGGCATTCTGAAATATCAAAATATTTTTGGTTTCAACTTTTGTTATTTACATGTCTAATATCTTCTGTTAAATCAGAAAGTAAGTAAATTATTTTCACAATTTTCAGCTCCAAGATCCTCGTACTGTGATGTCATACACTAAACATTGTCAAAAAGGCTGCATTAGATGAAAACACACCACGTGTATTGAAACAAATTGTTAGGCTCGTAGGTGAGACAATATAGTATGGCATATTAGGATGGGTTTTGGAGGCAGAGACTCACGTTTAGATAGCAGCTTTTCTAGCTGCAAGACTTTCAGTTAGTAAACTTCTTTAAACTTTTGCTTTTTTTTCTCTCTCTAATACAGGAACAAGACTTTGTAAGGTCTGTGAGAGTTAAAATGAAAAAACGTGTATAAAACAGCCTACAGAAACTGTAAACAATGCTGTTTCCATTATACCCTTCCTCCCTTTCCCATTCACTTTTTCATACCTTTGGCAAGTGTTTACTGAACACATACTGTGTCCCTGGTGCTGGAATTTAGTAGCAAGCAAGATAAAGGATTTAGTGCAGAAGGGAGACACTGAACATAAAAGTGCCAAGTATCCTGTATGTTATAAGAGAAATACAGGATGCTATGGGGTAAATATGAAGACAGCTCACCTCTCCTGGGGCCTCGGGTAACATTTCACATTCAGGTCAAGAAGCCATTAATTATGAAGCTATCAGTCTAATCTTTGCCAAGACTTGTCCCTGTCTAGCTGCACGTACCTTTTTCTATCCCAAGACTTTATTTGACTCTGCTTTTTCTCTGGTTTCAAATAGTTGGTGAATTTTTGTTTTATTCCTTCTTTGGCCCTGCACAGGATATAGTTAAGTGGCCTAATAGTTTATCAGAGCCAGGAATGACAATATCAGAGAGTACACTAATGCAGTTTGCACAGGAAGAAACTACAGTATTAACAGAAGAACTACACAGAACCATAAACATTTGTTTGGCCTGACAATAAAGAAAAGTGGATATAAATTTTCAAAATCCATGTGAACTGCAAAGCTTCATTAGCCTTTGACTATTGGATGGATTTGGAAGACCATTTGAAGTAAATAGAGCTTTTTAACTTTTCTGGTTATAATATTAAAATAAAGTCCTAAAGCTTCCATGAAAACAATGAAGTCAAAATAATAGTCCTCCATTTCATAAATACTTTTCAGAAGTTCGCTTTTTCAGGTCAAATAAAAGCCTGTACTTAAGATCTTGTGATACTAATATTAATTCTCAGTCCTGATTGAAAAGCCTTGTCTTCTCTTCTTCTTTCTCTCTTCTCTTTTTCGTTTCCTTGTTTTTGGCAGGATAAGAAATATGGAACTAGTCTTTTTTTAAATTATGAATGTCTTGTTTGTTATCAAAGGTATGCTTCTAAGCTCTCTTAAGCAGTAGGCTTAGAAAGCATAAAGAATGTAAAAATATTTTGAAAGAACTTAACACTTCACTGACCTTAGAATTCTGACATAAAATGATCTCTCCCAGATAATGTAATTCCTTCACATGTAGTTAATAATTCTTACTTGTTTTGACTTCTCAACAGAGATTCATTGTAAGGTTTTAGTTTTAATATTCCGGATTTTATAGAGAAGCATAAAATATTTTCATCATAGAAAATAACTGATCAGAAGGGATTAAATTAAAGCATAAACTCCCTTGGAAACAGAACTCTGAAAATCTGTAATTTCAGGGATATCTTTTAGAATCTAGAAATTGCGAATTTTAAGGATGACCTCTCTTCTGGATGCTTGTAGTTTGTTAAAAGGGTTGAAAAATAAACAAAAGAACAAAGACTCTAGATTCTGCATGCCCAGTGCGCCTGGCTCTTCCTTATGTTATCTCATTTCATATCACCCAGATAGATATTTTATTAAAATGTCAGCCTTTCTGAACCTACTTGAAGAAACTGTACTTTAATTTTGGACATTTCAAAGTGACTCTTAACTTTTTTTCTCACTGCTAGTGAGTCACTAAACAAACTTTAATCCAAACCACATAAGGAACTCTTATGAAACAGAAATGGGTAACTCTGATTGACTAATGCTCATCTGAGATCTTAGGAGAAACTTTTTGGATAAGACTAGTTGCATAATTAAAAGAAATTAAGAAGACATGAAACAAAGGAATAAGTCCATGTTCACTTTCAACACACAACTTCAGACAAACACATTTAAGGCTGCAAATTGATTATTTAAAAATGGAGTCACAGTTGTAAGTTCATTTGTCTTTGAGCGGCAGGTCTAAGAGAAGCCTCTGCCTGTCTCTCTAAAGAGCATTTCTGAGGCTGAAAACAAATGTTCCTCATTCTAATGGAAATATTTGTCCAAAAAAAAAAAAAGGAAAAAAATCACCTTTCCCCAAGAGCTGTCATATGCTATGTTATCTTATATGAATCTGAGAGTTTACGAGGATAATTTTAAATGAGAATATTAATAAGCATGAAATTTGTCTTAATGGAAAACAAAATTAGAAATATTACAATATATATTCAATAGTGGGCATGTAAAATCTGACATCTCAATCTTATGCAATGAAACATGAAACAAAATAAATACTAAACAGAACTCTAAGATGAGTAACCAAAGTATAGACTTATTTTTCATGACTGAAAATTAAAGATTATTGATGTTTTTACTAAAAAACCAGATTAACTATTGAGTGGTATAAGTTTTAGGAAGTACTACATATATTAAAAAGTAGTAAGTAACAAACTTCTACAAAATGGAAAACAGCTCTTTTCACTGTCTTACATGGATAATAACAAGATAAGTTTCTTTTAGTGAAAAGCACATGCTTTCACAGGTAGAAATCACCCCAATCTTGTGGAGTGATGTCTCATTTTTCTCCTTTGGTGCAGCTGTGATAGAAAGGTGACATAGAGAGCTCAGTCTAGATTTTAGTTCACCTCCTAATTTTATCTCCTAACTGAAACCATCGTGATGACAATGATTATTATTAGTGAATGCCTCAGCAGTGCCAGCAGTGGCACTGGGCACTGACTGCTAGTTGCACATGGGTAACACACATAAGAAGCGGACCTGGAACATGGAAGAAGGATGTGAGATTGTTTCCCCATGATTCATCCCCTGCCCTGGGAGCTGTCCACGAAAGACTAAGGCAGATTGAGTTCAGTTTAATTTGCCATTTAGTTTGTGTGCCACTTGGAATTTATGAGTTAATGCTATGAAGTCCATCCACAAAGGTTACTTTTATTTATACTTTTATCTCACAAAACATAACAGGCATCAAAGGAAAGAACTGGGGAGACCTCTCCAGGAGACTGGCAAAGCGATTTTCTTTATAACCATATTAGATAGCAGATGAGTAGGTGCTTGCTGTGAGCAGAGGAAGATGGCAGTGAAAGGGTAAAAACATAAAAAAACAAACACAACACGACACTCTCATGGGGAAACACGATCTTTAAAAAGATGCCTAGAGACAAGGAAAGAATGTCAGCTTGTTGTCTGGGTCCCAAGAAGGAAGCATAAATGACTTGGAAATAGATGAAAAAAGTGGCTCAGAAGCTGTGAGGTCAGAAAGAGGAAGCATTCCTCTCTTATTATTTGGCTAAGTTACCGGGTGAAGAAGTATATATATGACAAGAATACAAGAGATATGCGGAGTCTACAGCATTAGTGTGTGTTCGGGTGTTTGGGGAATGGGGGTTAATTTCTAGCAGTTTTATACATAATTTTTTTTTATGAGAATACAATTTTCTAAGAGGGTCCATAGCTTTCTGATTTTTAATCTGCTATGCTATAAAACTCCATGGGGAATATACCAGCTGTAATTAAATCTCAGCTCCTAGCACAGTTCCTGTACCTAGCAGGATTTAATATATGTTGTTGAATAAATCCATCAGTGAATTAGGTCAGTGCCCAACAGAGATGAAAAATTATTGGGTTAGAGGGAATGTTCTCTTTATATCAAGAGTCAGAATTTAAGAGGAGGTTAAGAAAAACTTTAATTCTGGAAAAGCAAAACGGATAAGATTGAAGGTGGAGTTGGAAGTATTTGGAGGTTGAATACACATACATGAATTAAAAATGATGCTCAGCAGACTGAATGGAAGCTGGAGTTGCAAGCAAGAGAAACCAAACACTTAGGTTAGCATGGTGACGCCTGAGAGGACAAGTGGGAGGTCAGGAAAGTAAAAGAAACTTGAAGTTACAGATGACATAAGGGAGATGAGAGACTTTTTTCTCCACTGTTTATTTTAAATGAGGGAGGAAACTCAGCAAACAAATTGGATTAAGTAACTCCAAGTGAATTTATGTGAATTTGAAGATTCCTGACCTAATCCTTGTGACTAAGACTCACTACCTATATATTTCAATCACTTAAAAAATGCATCAAATTGTGGAAAATAAAACCAGTAGCGTTGGGTTTTTGTTTTGTTTTACTGTATAGAAAATATAAAGAGAAATCCCTATGCTATTAAAATTTATCATCATAACCAAAACAAAGTAATTCACAAGGAAAATAATGGAGTTCTTATGATTTCTCAAGGAATCTGTAAGTCTTGGTATTTGCCTTTCTAATCAATCACAGTCCTATTAATTTATCTCATATCCTTTATTGACAGACTAATATTTCAGAGGTATACTCAAGGGCTGTATATGAACAGCCCCATCATAGTCTTACTTTTACTTGTTAGCTACTCACCTCGAGATGCTGACTGTGTCCACCATCTTTTTCATTTTCTTTGCTATAAATAACAGCAATAACAAAAAATCATAAAATACTTGTTTCATAACAGTGTTTTTCATCCATTGGTATTATGATTTTATTTTAAAAGTATGTTGAGTAGCTCTAAACCAAACACTTATAAAATTCAAAAACAAAACAAAAGATTAATCAAAACAAAGCAAAACTGGAAACACAAATAAACATGACTATAGTTATTTGCCTTCAATACCACTGTGATAGATTTTCTATTGTAAGCATTTTCTTTGCTATAAAATATTGTTGGTAAACATATAGTCCTTTAATTCCATTCTTTTTAGTTCTTATAATTCACATTGCATTACATGAAAATAACATTTTCTTGCCCTTGGAAACAATATGAGGAGAAAATTCTAAAATTACCTTTCATCAGACATCCTTTCAAAATCATCAGGTCCAGTTCTCTCCTGAGATCCTATGGAATTGAGACTTTCCATATTCTGTAACAGAACCATTATTGATTGCCCAATAAGAATGGTAAGACATATGCAATGCAGATCCCCTTTTCTTTAAAATAGAAAAATCAAATAATATATATAAACTAATTCCAGTCCTCATATTTTTTATCTTTGTTTAAAATAGTAAAATTATGACAGTTTATTATATCATGCTTGCACAGAATTGTATATTGAACTTTATTATTCCTTTAACAAAGATATGTGATAGCATCGTAGAAATGGTCATGGTGGCCTATAATGTCTCTCTTAGGTATTACCCACATTGCATAGCGAAATAGCAAAACCCAGATTGTTAGAAAATCAGGGTGGCCCTGACTTAGAATCAAGGAATCTGACTCTGACCTTGAATCTAATCAGAAAATGATGTAACATTTACTCTTTCTCTCTCTCTCTCTCTCTCTCTCTCTATATATATATATATATATATATATGTTTAAAAACATATATATACATATGCACACATACACCTTTATATATATTCAGTGTATATTGATAAGATTGAAGGTGGAGTATACACATGTATGTATATATACGTATATACATATATGCACGTGTGTGCGCGCACACACACACACACACACACACTCAATGTATAATGCCAAGATGATCTAGAGTGACATGTTGCTAATACCTAAGCTGTAACATACCTATAAACAGAGACGAAAATTTGAGAACCTTTCTTTCTGCAATATTTAATGTTAATTTTTATATTAGCTAAGATGGAAAAAATAAAAACAGAAAACCTACTTTGAATAGTATGCATTTTAGGCTGACCAGGTGGGCTTACTGCTTACCAGGAGGCATATAAGTACGATTTTTTTGACTGCCTTTGTGAATATAGCCAATGCTTTCTAAATATAATTCAGATGACTGGCACAGAAAAAGTAAGCCATTTCCTTGAAGGAAGATTGCAAATAAGCAAAGAAGGGTATATCTGAATTCAGTAAACTCAAAAACATAACTGCCTTGGAAATTTGGACCTGAATTTTGTTGAACTCAGATTTATATCTGCATTAAAAGGATATTAAGAATAATCCACTTATCCTGTATCATCAAAGTAAATTATATATATGGAAGTAACATATGTTCATCTACGTATCAGTAACATCCCATTATAATAAAAAACGCTTTACTAAGTAAATCTAATTAATGTTCACAATAATTCCATGAAATTGGCATTTACAACCATCTCCACAAAATAAACACATAATTAGGGTAGAAAACTAATTTTTGACTTGGTAGATAGCTGTATTATTTTCCGTTTATGTTGGTTTGGCCAATTTGCCTGGAATTCTCAGTTTGACACCCTGGGCTCCATCAAAGAATAGAAATGAAGGGAGATAACATAACATAATAGTTATGATGGTGGCTGTAAATCAGAACTCCTAATTCAAGTTCCACCGTTTGGCAACTGTATGACCCTACTTGAGCCTTAATTTCCTCATCTGGAAAATGAAGGTAGCAGCAATAGTTAACATAGGGTGGCCAGGAAGATTAAATACTAAATAAAGTACTAGAATAATGCCTGGCACATTTAACGAATATTATTAGTAATTGTTGATGTTATTGTTTCTGAAGCTATAATATCTCCACGGAAAATATTTTACTGTTTTTTGTTCACAGTTAAGACATTGTTCCAAGAACAGGAAATACAGTGTTTGTGTCTGCCATTAGAATATTAAGTATCAACTTACACACTTAGATAATTTTAGAATGGATCTGAGAAATTAAAAATTATAACATTCAATTATATTTATACCTCTAAAGTCTGAGTTAGAAGAGGTCTTTATAAAATGGTTCCCATTAAATCAAGAATAATTGCTCTTATTACCTGAATGTGACTTTCCTGATAAAGGGGGATATATCTATGACAAAGAATCTTAGTTCTCACTGGTAATTTTCAATAGATTATCAAAATCTTTAGTGTAAGATCTAGTGCAATAGTATTAGGTTTTCCTAAAGCTCTGAAACATGAATTTCAAAGTAAAGCACAATCCCCTATCTTCAGATCATTTCACAATAGTGCCAATGAAATGATACATTCATAATTACATGTAAATGACTATTTCCAAAGAACTAAACAGTTTCAGATCAAGGCTAAGAAATATTCAGATCCTTCCTGTAGGAGACAGCTTAAAAGAAAAAAATAAATAACATAAAAAAGAAATAGAAAGAAAAAGAGTGAAGAGAAAATAAGCCATAATAGCATTATCTAAATTTAGAGCCGGGTGCGGTGGCTCAAGCCTGTAATCCCAGCACTTTGGGAGGCCGAGGCGGGTGGATCACAAGGTCAAGAAATCGAGACCATCCTGGTCAACATGGTGAAATCCCGTCTCTACTAAAAATACAAAACATTAGCTGGGCGTGGTGTCGCGTGCCTGTAGTCCCAGCTACTCAGGAGGCTGAGGCAGTAGAATTGCCTGAACCCAGGTGGCGGAGGTTGCGGTGAGCCGAGATCGTGCCATTGCACTCCAGCCTGGGTAACAAGAGTGAAACTCCATCTCAAATAAATAAATAAATAAATAAATAAATAAATGAATGAATGAATGAATTTAGAGATATTTCGGTTAGAAGCTGTTAGAAGACTTTTTTTTTTTTTTTTTTTTTTTTTTAATTAAAAAGAAAAAAAAAATTTTTTTTTTTTTTTTTTTTTTTTTTAACTAAACAGAGGAACAAAAATATAATTGATACAGGTGTTAGGAACTACAGAATAAAGTTAGTTAGGTCACACAATAGAAAGCTTTGCAAAAAGCAGTTGTGAGATGTGAGAAAGCTTAGTGGATCTCCAGGGTTAAAACAAGTATCAACTTCTTCAACTCCCTCCCTACCACTTTTTACACGTTTTATCAATAGGTTTAAGAACTCTTCAACGATTTGAGGTTTTGTAGATGTAATTCACAAAGGCTGATTTTTAATATCGTTTAATATTCTGCTCTAAGGTTTTTCAATAATTCTAATTGTAATGTTATTTCTGTACACATTTGAGACTGCTGAATATTCATTGTCTGGTTTCACTAAAACAACATGCAAGTACACAGTGTTCCTTTCCTAAGGTAGCTGGGTTGCACCTATACCTCTTGGAAATGGAACATCTGAAGAAGATTACAACTGAAAAAGCAATGTTTTCCGAATGAAACTAACAAGGGTAGTAGATACCTATGAGTACAGTAACAAAACTATATATTGCCATGGGCACAAAACGTTTTATAGATTCTAATTTGTATTCTTTGTCTTGGGGTTAGGGAGGAATGATTAAGATAAAGAAGTAGATCAGTAGTCTCTCTACTTCACTAAGATGAGGGAAGTGAAAAATGTAATGTACAGGTTAAAATAATGCTGAAATGCAGAATGTTTTTGAGAAGTATGCCATTGGACCTTCAAATGTGCTCCAGCTACTAACAGTACTTGTCTTACAAGAAAATATTGAGTCATTGTCTTTTGAAGGCTTTACACTGTTTTATGTCCCAAATACATCTCTACAAGGTGTGGTAAAAGAGTAGTCCATTAATGTTCTCATTGATTAGAGGTTGAAGTAATAGAATGCTTGTGAAAATGTTTTATTGTATTAATTTTTAATTCCTCGTCTAAATTTAGGATATTTTAAAGGTAATAGGTAATTTTCAAAAAACAGCAAAGAACAGATTGTGACTTTAATTTAATAAAATTGCTTCTTGCATTGTAATTTTTTTTCAACCAGATAAATCCTAGTTTATAATCCATAAAATTCTGGTTCATATAAGTTCTATCAGTGACTTTCAAATCACAGATTCACTATGACATAGTTTATTTTGATAATTTTGGGGTGTCAGAGGAACTGAATTTTAAAGACCATTCTCCTTAATTAGAAAGATAACCTCAAGTCTAAAAGAGCAAAATCCTTGATAAAATTTCATTTGAGATTGTGGAATTTATTTTTAATTCTTTTTCTTTCTCCCTTTCTGTGTTGGCGTTGAAAGCTAGGCTCAAAACCTGTCTGACCACTGACTGAAGCACTTGAAAACACTTGGAACAAAAACAAATTCATCTTCTAAAACTGTAAAATACTGACAGAGCCTTAATAGAGGACACATGCACAAATGCCTCTCTTGATATATAAACAGCTCAATCTGAAGGCTACAGGAATGCTGTTAGTCAAAACAGGCTCATTATTCTAACCTTGAGCTCTAAGAGAAGGAGAACAGAGTCTCGTTAAGAAAGGAATAAGGGCATGTTGAAATTCCTTTTTGTACCCTTTTGTACATTTTATGTTTTATTGCTCAAAATTGTATAAGCTCATTCATATTCAAAAAGAACTACTGATATCATGAAAGACGCCTATGAAAGAGTTTGCTAGCTGTCCACCCAAACCCACACTACGCTTCTTCCACCATAATAAAATAGCTATGTGCCCAGCAACAGTACATTTCCCAGCCTCTCCTGTGATCAGATACAACCATGTGACTAACTTCTCTCCAATGGGATGTGAAAAGTGATATATGTGGCTTCCAGACCTGGCCAATACAATGCTTCACCAGGTACAGATGCTCCTCAACTTACTGTGGAGGTTATATCCCAATAAACTCATGGTAATTAGAAGACATCATAAGCCAAAAATACATTTAGTACACCTAACCTACTAAACAGCATAGCTTAGCCTAGCCTAAACATGCTTAGAACACTTACATTAGCCTACAGTTGGGCAAAATCATCTAACAGAAAGCCCATTTATAATAAAGTGTTGAATATTTCATGTAATTTATGGAATACTATACTTACTGAAAGTAAAAAAACAGAGGGTTTTATGGATATTTGAAGTATGGCTTCCATTGAATATATATAGCCTTCTTTCCTTACTGAATAGTACACAAAGGAAAGGAATCCTAAATGTGTATATAAACATGAAGAGACTGATATAAGTTAGAGAAGAATATTCACTTCTTAGACGAAGGGTAGGTTGTGGTTAGAACACAAAGATAGACCTTTGGTGTTATGCAAAGTAGGGA